AGTTAACAGATTTTTGGTATCTCTCATAGGAACCGAGATAATTGAGCTCAAATTTACGTCTAGGGTGAGCTTCATTAGAGCATATACGGTATCAACTTTGAACCTATTTATCTCGGTTCCTATAGGAGATATTGAAAAAGTTTCTACTGATAAATTATTTATCATATTTTCACAAATATTTTACTAGTTGACAAATTTTTGATATCTCTCATAGGAATCGAGGTAAATGAGCTCAAAGAGCATACATTGGCCTGGAAACTTTTAGAAACATGACATCAGATAGTCCTCCAGATTTTCCCATGGTTAGTACAAGTTTTCTTTTTTCTAATCCCTACTTAAAAACAATTTTTGTTTCTTGCAACTTTCTATTTCTTCTCTTTTTTTGCAACGAAAAAACAGTCAACCTAGTAATGCCATTTTCTTTTTCTGCCTTTTTCGAAACGTCGAAGATTGCCAAGCTTGTTTCCCGCTTTTTGGTTTTTTGGTCATTCTGAAAAACATTTTTCAGAACCAATTTTTCAGAAAAGAAAATTGAGAACTTTTTTATCTTAATTTTCAGAGAAACCTAGTACAGGTTTCTCAAGAATTTTCGTAGAATTTTAGAAGAACTTTTTGTCTGAAATCTGGGGCTTCTTGGAGGCGTGAAAATTCTGAAAAAATAGGATTTCGGATTTTTAGTACAATTTTTTGTCTGGATATATTTCTGGTAGTTTTCCCGCGATTTTTCTTAGAATTTTTTAGAACTGGAATTTCAGGACTTCCGAAGGACTGAAAATTCTTAAAGTTAAAAGAGGTTTTGCGAATTCTAGATTTCAACAACAGGGATTTTGAATTCCGAAATGTGGAACGCCAATTTTTTCAAAAATGCTTCAGATTCCATTAGCTTTAAAATTTTAAATCTGGGAGGATTCCAATTTATAAAAATTGAAATCTTGGACCTAGACCCTAGACCCTAGACCCTAGACCCTAGACCTTAGACCCTAGACCCTAGACCCTAGAACCCTAGAACCCTAGACGCTAGACCCTAGACCCTAGACCCTAGAACCCTAGAACCCTAGAACCCTAGAACCCTAGAACCCTAGAACCATACTTGTAATCCGGGCCTTTGCCGGGCCTTCGCGGGCCCTGCCATAATTTCTTTCAGAATCAATGTTTTCAAACCAACTCAAACAGGTATGGTAGAGCTCCACGAGTACTACAAAACGGTATTATTTGGAATACTGTACCTTGTCTATGAACAGAGTTACATAGCAAAAGGAGCAAAAAAAGCAGGCCCGTCCCGGGCCTGCCGGGCCCTGCGAGAAAACCCACTTTATGATCTGTAACTTTGTTCATAGATAAGATACAGTATTCCAAATAACACCGTTTTGTAGTACTCGTGGATCTCTATCATATCTGATTTAGTTGGTTCAAAATATAGATTCTGAAAGAAATTATGGCAGGGCCCGCGAAGGCCCGGTAAAGGCCCGGATTACAAGTATGCCTAGAACCCTAGAACCCTAGAACCCTAGAACCCTAGAACCCTAGAACTCTAGAACCCTAGAACCCTAGAACCCTAGAACCCTAGAACCCTAGAACCCTAGAACCCTAGAACCCTAGAACCCTAGAACCCTAGAACCCTAGAACCCTAGAACCCTAGAACCCTAGAACCCTAAAACCCTGGACCCTAAGAATCCTAAGAACACTAATTACATGGATCCTTCTGAATCCTGTGGATCCCAGATTCCCGAAAATCGATAGATATTTAATCCTTCCCCCGAAAACTTCTTCACTTCTCATTCCGAATTCCTTCATTAATTATGCATTCCTTGTCTTTTTCTTCTTCCCGAGGAAACAATAACAATGACGATAAAGAGAGAAGAATCCAACCGAAAAATTTAAATTCGCTTTTGGTTTTTGATTTTCTTCTTTCTAGATTATTTCACTTAATTGATCATTTAAATACGTCTTCACCTGTTCCTTCTAGACCAACTGACCAAATCCCATTGAGTGCTGGCTTTCACTGAACAATGAACCTTTTATGAGTCAGAAGTCAGAAAGAAGGAAAGTCTTGAATTTTTGACTTATGTTACATGTTTCATTAACTTCTCCTTTACACGTCATTTCCTATGATACATAAGGACAACATGTCTTGTAATCTTTTGAGCTGTAAGTCTCGCTAGAGCTCATTCTCATTTTCAAGCACACAGTCATCACAAGAAATTGGAAATCCTTGAAGATTTTTTTTCTGAAAATCCAAAATCCTAACCTGTAAGAAGGATTTAAGAGTCATTGAACATATCGGAAGTCTAAAATTTCTCAGATTTCACTCATTTTTTATTCTCTAGCTTGTGACATTTTCTGTGAAATCATCTGCAGCCGAGAGCAACGTGACAATTATGACAGAACAACTGAATTATAGGTTTCCGTGTTCTTTGTTGAAAAATTGACATCATAGGATCTAAGATCTGTAGGACCTGGAGTGCTTAGGTCTAGGATCCATAGGATCTAGGATCCAAAGGGTCTAGGATCCATAGGATCTAGGATCCAAAGGGTCTAGGATCCATAGGATCTAGGATCCATAGGATCTAGGATCCATAGGATCTAGGATCCATAGGATCTAGGATCCATAGGATCTAGGATTCATAGGATCTAGGATCCATAGGATCTAGGATCCAAAGAATTCAGAATTCCGTAAGATCCTTGGGAATGTCGATTTCAGAATCTCTTTTATTTTTGATTTTCGACGATTTTCACGACGTTAAAAAAATTGTTCATGAAGTTTCCGTTATTTTGATACCCATATTGACCTAGTTTGAGAAAATTCTCGAATTCTAAAATCTGAGCAGTGCCCACGTCTTCTGAATTCAGAATACCAAATTTGTTGAAATTAGGTCAATATGGGTATCAAAATTTCACAAATTTCCTGACAAACCTTTCTAACGTCACAAAACTCCATGACAACCAGACTTTAAAACAGTTTATTGACTTTTTCTAGATTTATCTGAAAGTTTAATTCCAAAAGTTCTCAACTTTCCAATCGTTTTTAGAAGGCGGAACTTGAAAATATTCGAAAAAATGTATTTTTAGTTCCATATATGTCACATTTTTCCCCCAAATAAGCGATCTCATTTGACAATTGTCAAAGTCTGAAGTGCCTACTCTGCTACTCAACTTTTCCTCATTTTCCCAGAAAACTCATAATTTTTGCAATTTTTAGTGGTTTTTTACTACTGTCTTTTTTTTCCAAAAGTTTCTACTTCTATATTCTTTTGTCATTTTTTTTTTGGGTTTTTTACGATCTAATAATGAAAGGAGGCACTTTCTGGAATATTCTATTACATCCCAGATAGAGAGTACAAGACTACATGATCACAAATCTCGGGTTAAATGGCTAAAATCAGAAAAACAAGAAGACGTGAGGCTTATTTTTAGATGGGGAAAAGAAGGCGAAAAATAATTAGGGGTCCTAGGGAAAATAGGCCAAAAAAAAGAGCCGAAAATGAGGTAATGAGGTCGAGAAATGCAGGAAACAGTTGAAAATAATTCGGACCAAAAACTGCTAATTTTTGAAAGTTTCCGAAATTTCAAAAAAAACTTGGGGGGTTCAGTTCCTTTTCGGGCAGTCATGGAAACGCCAAATCGAATGAAACATAAGCACCAAAAATGAATGTGTTCTTGATGTTTTGTGTTTTGGTTTTTCAAATTTAATTTTTGCCAAATTTCGCGTTTTTCAACTACCGAATATGCTCTAATATTGCTCCAATAGAAGATCGCATTATACGTGCACTTTGAGCTCTATTATCTCTGTAATTGTAAAATGTTTCAAAAATTTGTCAACTGATAAAATTTTAATGATATTATGATAAACATTTTATTAGTTGGTCACTTTTTGATATCTCTTACAGGAGTCGAGATAATTGAGCTCAAAGTTGATACCTTATATTCTGTCAACTGATGAAATGTTGGTGATGTTTTCATAAATATTTTATCAGTTGAACACTTTTTAATATCTCTCATAGGAGCTGAGATAGTTAAGCTCAAAGTTGATACATCAAATGCTCTACCCCCCTCCCTCTATACGTCCACTTCGAGCTCAATTATCTAGATTCCTATGAAAGATATCAAAATTTTGTTAACTAATAAAACGTTGGTGATATTATGGCGAACATTTTATCAGGTTTCTATTTTTTATCTCTTACAGGAACCGAGATAATTGAGTTCAATTCAAAGTTGAAACCATAAATGCTCTAATGAAGCTCAGCTCTATTATTTCGGTTCCTGTGAAAGATATCAAAATTCTGTTAACTAACAAAAATTTGTTGAGAATATGATAAATATTTTATCAGTTGACCGCTTTTTGATACCTGTTATATGAACTGAGATAATTGTGCTCAAAGCAATTTGTATTTTTTCTCGACAGTTTAATATCTCAAAACCTGGAAGGTTTTTTTTCATTTCTCAAATTTTGATTGATTACTACAGTAATCCTCAACACCAAAAGTTCAATTTCTAGTACACCTGTCCCCACCCCGTCATCCACCTCTCTCCTAAGCCCCGCCTCTTTCTGACTCCGCCCACAATTTACATGCTCTCTTCTCTCTTCGTCTTCCATTCTCTTTTTTTTTCTTCTCCGCTTTTCCTTCCCCATCATCATCAATTTCGTTTTTCCCTCTTTTGCACAAAATAGTAGAATTGGGGGTAAGGAAAAGAGAACTTTTCCTTCTTCTTCGTTTTTCGGTTCTTCTATTCTGAAGATGTGACGCAAATTTAGAAGAAGAAGTGAAGAAGAATAGAAGAGGTGTTTCGAGGAAAAAGACGTGAATTTCTTTTTTTTCTCACATTCGTTAAGTTGATTACTAGAACAGAGCCCTCCCCCACACCTACCATTTTTCTTTGTCTCGGTTTTTTTTGCTATTCTTTGGACCCAAATGTTTCATTGTTCCTTTAATTTCCGGATTCTTATTGCTCAAGGATTACTGTACATTCATTAATCGACTACTGTACTTTTTGCAGTTTGAATGAGCTATTCCAATGATAATTTGACGACGACGATACAAGATGTGCAAGAAGCGAACGCCCTCAAAGACCAAGAAGAGATATCAGAGATATTGAGGATAAAGGTGAGAACCGTACTTTTATTCTTGAGCCCATTTATCTCGGTACCTGTGAAAGGTACGAAAAAATTGTCAACTGATAAACTGTTTATCATAATATCGCAAACATTTTTTTAGTTGACAAGTTTTTCATATCTTTTATAGGAGCCGAGATAATTGAGCTCAAAGTTGACACCGCGTATGCTCTAATAAAGCCCACCCTATGCGTGCACTTCGAGCCAATTTATCTCGGTACCTGTGAAAGGCACCAAAAAGTTGTCAACTGATAAACTGTTTATCATAATATCACAAACATTTTATCAGTTGACAAATTTTTGGTATCTCTCATAAGAGCCGAGATAATTGAGCTTAAAAGTGTAAGTGGGGGGGGGGAAGGGGCTTCATGGCTTACGGTAATATGGTTCGGCGGGAAGTTAAAAAATTTGAACATCTCTATGAGTGGGCGTTAATAGATCCTTGAACATTCCTAGAGAAATTTTCGTTCCCATATGCTAATTTATTCCGGAAACGGAGTCTCGAAATAACAAGATTGGAGTGTTACGTATCATACGGAGTTTTAAGATTCGAATTCGTGAATTTTTAAAATTCCGGATTCCGGATTTCCTGCCACATCAAAATGTTTCAATTTGCTACTAAAGTGACGTTTGTCTGAAAAATTTTTTTGAACTCTCTGAGCCCCTCAGGACATGCGGACATCCGGACATCTGGACAGGCTTACATTTCATAGAACCAGTGGCTAATCCAATTTAGCTAAGGACGTCTAGAGGTTCTGACCACTAAATAGAACTTTTAGTTTAATTCTAGAAGGAAAAGACAATAAAATAACCTCTAGAAAAGAAAACAGATTTATATTGAAAATTGGCTTGATTTGATGTTATTTGAGTAAGAAGGAAAAAGAAGTAGGTGGGAGGGAACCGCCTATTATTTTGGACATGCTAGCGCTCATTTTTCGAGCGTTATTTTTGTGTGACTAGTCATGATTTCTGCTGAAAAATATGGATTAACCGTTTCCACGTTGGTAAGCTTTTTCTAGACGTACCGTAATCTTATAGATGCCCACTTTATGAAATTCCTCATACCCTATACTTTGAGATCAATCATCTCGGTTTCTATGAGAGATATCAAGAATTTGTCAACTGACAAATTGTTTATCATATTATCACAAACATTTTATAAGTTGACAGATTTTTGGTATCTTTCATAGAAACCGAGATAATTGAGCTCAAAGTAAAAAGTTTGGGGGACATTCTATTAGAGCAGAGAATGTGGTGGAAAATGGTCTACCTCATCTGGATGAATTTTTACAAAAAAGTTGCCAATTGCAAAAATGGAGCTCTGATTTTGTTTAGTATACCCTGAAAATTTTGGTACCATTCAATGAGATATATTATCTTTCGTAGACATCCAAAGGTGGCTATCATAGAACTAAAACTGAAGGGCTCCCAGACTGTCAAGTTTGAGCTCAATTATCTCGGTTTCTGATGGAGATATCATGAATGTCTAAACTGATAAATTTTCCATCGTAATATTAGCAATATCTTATCAGTTGACAACTTTTTGATTTATTTTACAGGAATCGAGATAATTGAGCTCAAAGTGCGCGTATAGGGGGATTCTATTAGAGCAAACACGGTAATTGACACTAATAAACTTTCAGCAGCTACAGTATCCCTCGATTTAAATCAACTTCTAAATATAACGAACTATCTTTATTTCAGATCGAAGTATGCATCTATGTAATCGTCTTCTTCGTCGGTGGCCCTCTCAACCTAATGGCCCTATCTCGTTCCCTTCGAGCCTTCTCGCGAGCCCACAAAGCAAAAAGTCAGATTCTCCTCCTCCGAATAACCCTGAATCTTGCGGACCTGATGACCCTATTTCTCTACGTACCTAAACAAATCATTTGGCTGATAACTTATCAGTGGTACGGTGGAGAATTCCTCTGTCGAGCGTGCGCCTTCTTCTCCACTTTCTCCTTCTACTTGAACTCATTTGTCATTGCGTGTATTGCCATCGATCGAGTCTTCGGAGCAGTCAACATCAGCTCGCTTAATGCGCATCGAAAGGCTTATATCAGATGTCGGAATCTATTGGGATGTGGATGGGTTTTGGCTTTTTTGTTGTCGCTGCCGCAAGCGGTTGTTTTCACAACGACTAGTCCCTATGAGAACATTGATTTCAAGTGAGTTTTTGGGGGTTTAGAGGAGGGTATGCGTTCTGGCGTGATGGTTTACAGTGCTTCTATGCAGCTCAGCTGGTAGTGGCGTGGTACTTCCACAAGTTCAACTCCTCAAAGAGCGTATAACTTTAAAGGCGCATAACTCGTTTGAACTTTGAGCTAGAGCAATGAAAGTTACACAGTTTTGTAAGAAATTTCAAAAGCATTATAATCATATAAACTGTTGAGAACCTAAAAAATGATTCTCGGACATTTTGACCATTTTCAAAAGTCTGAAGCGTGATGGTCAAGGTTTCGATCCTTTTGAAAATCTTGGAAGAGGTGTANAACANACCTANATANAAAACTTTGCATTAAAGAATTTTTCGCAAATTTTTAGTTTTTGAGCTATCTGCCGATTTCAGATGGACACCAATTTTTTTCAGGACAAAACGGGTGCCATTTAGAAATCGGCAAATAGCTGAAAAACTAGGAATTTTTAAAAGATTCTGTGAATGCAAAGTTTTCAATCTAGGTCTGTTTTACAACCTCCAAAAATTTCAAACTGATCGGACACTGGACAGACGAGCAACAGACTCCTAACGCCAGCTGCTTTAGCTTCGGCTGCGTGGCTCAGCCGGTAGCGGCGCGGCACCTCAAACAAAGGGCCCACAAGTTCGACTCCCTGAGAGCTTTACATGAAAAAAATTTCTTAAAAATCCCATTTCCAGACAGTGTGCTACAATCTTCATGATCTTCCTTCACGAGAAACGCATCGAGTACCAAGACCCGTTGACAACCGACGCACGACGTCAACAAATCGACGAGGAAGCCTATCTCATGGAACGATGGGAGAAGATGTATGCCATCAATCATTTCCTATTCGTCTTCTGGATTCCATGTATCATCATCATTGGCAGCTACGGTGTAGTCCTCGTGCTCCTTCAGAGACATCTCAAGCAAGGTTAGCTCAAATTAGCCTCAAAATTGATTGGCCAAATCAGCTCTCTCTTATTTTCCAGACAAATCTCCATGGTGCTCCATCTTCTCGATCTTCAGTTTCCGCGTGAAGTCGTCATGCGAACTGATGACCCTCGATGAGACACAATCTACTACAACCAGAAGTCCAACGCGGTCGACCTATTTGCTAGCTCAAGAGGAATCATACGCCCTTAAATCGTGCTCCTCCTCCTATGAATTCGAGTCTTACCCAACACAACAGCCCGTTCGAAGTGGATCTTTCCGATCTAGAAGCTCTAATGGTGGAAGTGCAAAGTTCGGAGCCATGGCAGTTACCACTATCCACAGAGCCAAGCAGCACGCCAAACGACAAGCCGCACTGATCATTGTGGCGTATCTGTGCATTTGGAGCCCTTACAACTTGTTCACCGTACTCAACCTAGTTGGATTGCCTATTATGGAAGAGCTACGTCACTTTTTGAGCTTTCTAAATGCGGCGATTTGTGTGAATACTGTAGTCAACCCCATCATCTATGGTGTCTTCGCACTGCCAACAAGGAAGGAAAGAGAAAGGAGTGGAACTTGATAATTTGAAAAGCGGGTCAAAATTGCCAAATTTTTTGTAATAATTAATTTTTTTCTGTATCATTTTTTTTTGAATAATTTCATATCTCACTAACACTACGAGTCGGTCTTTTTTCCCTGTAAATTTAATAAATATTTTTCTTTTTTTCTTTCAATTTAATTTATGTGTCAAGAGGGGGCGTTCTCTCATCGCGTGCCATGTGATTCAATTGGTTTTTAATATTCATGTGTTTTTCTATTTTGTACGAAAAAACTCAGAATTGTGTTGAGAAGGGACGTTTAAATGCACTTAAATGGGAATAACCGTATTGTCGAATTAAAAAAAGTGAATTTGAAAACTTTTGCTTTTTTTGATCAACGAAAAAGTGCGGCAAAAATGTAATATTTCTGAATTTCGGCTCGTTCGAGCTACTTTCGTGTTTAATTTTAGTTTTTTGCTTAAAAATAGTTTCTATAGATGCTAGCGATCATTTTTATACCAAGAAATCAAAATTTTGTTCAGAAAATCCCACTGAATTCACATGAATAAATTTGTTATCTACAGTATCCGTTTTCCCTCCGCCCCCTCGTAAATCGACACGAGCGCCGTCTCCGAGATTTTCGGGGGTACGACGAATTCGAACGTTTTCAAAATCGAACAGACCTAAAATCGAATTGATTCAATTCAGAACAGTCCTTTTTTCGCACACTTACCAGAATAGAACGCGGACAGAATCGAACTGTTACAAGTTCGAACTGGTAAGGGGTCGAACTGTCCCAAATTGGAACGCTGCCTGCAACAGAGCGCGA